TTCTGAACAATCGGAGGTTTCTGAAGCACCTTCAAGGGCAGCCATGCATAGAAGGGACTGCAGTAATCTAGTCTGGTGACCGCCACATGAATCACTGTGATGAGGTCAGACCCAGACAAGTAGGGGGACAACTGATGGGCCTGGAGGAGATAGGAAAAAGCCTGTTCCACCACCGAGAATACCTGCTTGTCCAAGGTAAGCGAGGCACCCAGCCAGACCCCAAAATTTTCACAGAGTTCACTGGAATAAGTTGAACACCATCCAGAGCAGGCTGCTGCAAACACTCTTCCAGCCCAGCCCTCCCCTGTCACATGACTTCAGTCTTAGTTGGATTCAGCTTCAGCCAGCTCTGCCTCAACCACCCAACCGCAGCATCCAGTCACCCATTCAGTGCTGAGAGGGCCGTCTTGGGCTGTTAATCCAGCAGGAGGAAGATCTGGTTGTCATCCGTGTACTGATGGCACCCAACACCAAACCTTCTGAGGAGAACGTAAGAACCTCGTTCTTGTAAAAGCCTCCCTGCTTTTTCAGCAATTTAATGTAATTAAGTAAATATTTTAACATATTTTTTTTTTGGGAATCCAACCACTTGTGGGAGGCAGGGAGTCCCAGGCCACCAACTAAGAGTGTCTGTTGGAGAAAGGAAGAATCTTCACCCACACAGGCAAGGCAAAGAAACCGTCTGGCCATTTAAGGCACCGGTCTGCACCCATGACGATGGGGAGGGAAGCCCCAGGGTGGTTAACATTGCAGGTGCCACAATGTGCCTGGAGGCTCATCAGAGACAGAGTCATCAGATGAATGGCAGGGGACAGCTCTGCCACTCCCACGACTGTCTCCATAGAACCAAGAAATGCAGGAAATGAATCAATAGAAAGGCTTTTCCTTCAATAAAGCAACTAATAATACATGGATGGAATTTGGCCAATATGACTTCTAAGTCAACAAAGCCCACAAGAGCAGTACATCATCATTTGTGAAAACAAATGCTAAGGTCACAATTAGTATCGAAGTAAAACAGGCAAATATGACTTCCTAGAATAAGACATAGACTTAGTTACATGGTTTTTCCTAAGAAGATTTGCATGGTAACAGGGCCAGATGTTTTTGTGTTCTTAAATGGAGAGCCCCAAGGTTGTGCTATGTGCTGTTGATGGAAATGTGAATACTGCAGCAGAGGAAACAAGTTTCATTTATTGTCTTAGCCATTGGCCATAACAACACAAAGTAAATCAAAGCACAACAGAAATATACATCAATTACTTGCAGTAAGTCCTAGACCCCATCTTATCTTTTTTCCCGCCAGTGCAAACAAAGCCATTCTGCTAGTAACATGTGCATCAGTATCAGAGAGCAAGAACACGGTCAAATCCTGCTCAGCAATTCCATTATACAGAGGTACAATAGGATAAATAAACCTTTGGCTAAGTGATCCCTTCCATAAACATCTCAGAATGTAATGCTCGACATCATCCACTTCACCCATACCACATAGGCATATTCTAGAGGTGGCAGGGGCACCCAGAAAGTGACCAATACAAACCATTGAGGGTATGACATGGAACCTTAGGGCAGTAAAAGCCCTTCTCAGCTTCAAAGTAGTTAGTTTCTCAAGATATACAGTCCTACAATGATCTCTTTTAAAGATCTTATACAAGGGGGCTGTACGGTAACTTACCACCACATGTCGATTCAAAAGCCCATCCTTATTAAATACCTATTCCTTCAGTTTAGATTTTTGGCTTTCATTTACCAATAGGTCATCGGGGATTGAGTATTTCAATAAAATAGAGTTCAAGTACCATCTAATCTTTTTGAGGATTTCAACAGGAAATCAAAACTTTGAACACCTAGAATATCCTGAGGTCGTTCTAAACATTTCCTCCAATATGAGAGAATTCTTACATTTGCCCTGGCGTTCAGGGATACCATACCCAGTTCAGCCCTCATCAACGCCACAGGTGAACCTTTGGGTAAGACCAAAATCCACCTCATAAAATAATTTTGCACAGTTTCTAGCAGGGACAGCAGCGATTCGTCCCAACCCAAAATCTCTACCCCATACAGCATTGCTGAAAATTATCTTATTCATGTATAATTTAACAACCGGGTCAATCATACCTCCACCCCTAGAAAAGTAAAACTTCAGCAAAGCCCCTAGATTGTTCATGGCAACGGTCTTCAGTTGTGTGATATGGGGACGCCAGAAGAGGGTTTCTGAGAAGATTATACCCAGATATCTGTATGTGCTACATTGCTCAATTGGTGTACCAAGAATACTCCAAATGGATTTCTTGGGTGTTTTCCTGAAAACTAGCACTTTAGATTTGGCGTAGTTTATTTACAGGGCTTCTGCCCTGCAGAGGAAACACTTTTCTTTTGGACCTAGAAAGATCGCTTCCTGACTCCAAAGTGGCAATCAGCATTTCCCTGCATGTGTAAAAAAGGGCCACAAGAGCGAAGCACTGAGGCAACCCTTCCTGCAGCCTCCCTCTCATGATCGGCCTAAGTTCACAGAATTCACATTGCTGTCAGATGGCCATCTAGCCTCTATTTGAAAACCTCCAAAGGAGGAGAGTCCACCGCTTCCCACATTGCCCATGACCCACATTGGGCACACCAGGAGATCAAGGTAACAGGTGAAGAGAGCAACGGGGCCATCCAAGGAAGGGAAGAAGATGACCCCACAGTGGGACCCAGGGTGGATGGCAGAGTGGACCTGGCAGGTGACAAAGTCCCAGCCCAGCCCCAGCAGAGCTTCAGGAAGAAGTCTGGAGAAGAGGAGATTGAGGGGGGACATAATTGCTCTCTTGAAGTATTTGAAGGGCTGTCACTTAGAGGAATGAGAGATCAAATTGCCAACATCCGCTGGATTATGGGGAAAGCAAGAGAGTACCAGAAAAACATCTACTTCTGCTTCATTGACTATGCTAAAGCTTTTGACTGTGTGGATCACAACAAACTATGGCAGGTCCTTAAAGAGATGGGAGTACCAGACCACCTCACATGTCTCTTGAGAAACCTGTATAAGGGCCAAGAAGCAACAGTTAGAACCGGATATGGAACAACTGATTGGTTCAGCATAGGAAAAGGAGTACGACAAGGATGTATGTTGTCACCTTGCTTATTTAATATATATGCAGAGTACATCATGCGAAATGCTGGCCTGGATGAATCACAAGCGGGAATTAAGATTGCTGGGGAAAAGATCAACAACCTCAGATATGCAGATGATACCACTCTAATGGCTGAAAGTGAAGAGGACCTAAAGAGCCTCTTGCTCAGAGTAAAAGAGGAGAGTGCAAAAGTGGGCTTGAAGCTCAACATTAAAAAAAAAAAAAACTAAGATCATGGCATCCGGCCCCATCACTCCTTGGCAAACAGAAGGGGAAGTCGTGGAAGTAGTGACAGACTTCACTTAGAGGTGAGAAAGAATGTGTGGTTATATGGCATGGCTATTTAGGCCATTTGGCCTCACCATTTGGCTTGCAACAGGAAACTAAGACACAGCATGTTATCAAAAGACATCACAGGAGAAGGCATGTGAATACAGAAGCAGAAAGCAAACAGGCATAGCAGGATCAATGGGCAGAACACTAAATAGTAAATAATGAATCACAAAATGTTTTTTTTTAACCATCCTATATGAAAGAAGTTGAATCAGGGATCCCCTGACCTAGGTTGCATTCACAAGTACTATGTGGGGGGGGGGGGATTCACCTGCCAAAATGCACTTGCTTTTCAAGGCTCATAAACATTCCAAGAGGGGAGGAGGAGCTCCAGTCTTCCCTCCTGTGCTGTTTTCCTAAGAAAAACCAGCCACAAAGGGGCCTATTTTCCCCTTCCTCAGGCTCTACCTGTCATCAGATTATGTGACTAATAACACATGGTGCCCGTGAAAGGGGCAAAGAGCCCCCCCTGAGGCCACGTCTGTCTGGGAAAACAGCACAGGAGGGAAGACTGAAGCCACTTCTGTCTTCTCACAGCACACATGAGCCTGAATGAAGAATAAAAGTTTTGGCAGGTGAACTCCTGGTGGTACATGAGGCTATGAGCCTGGCTTGCAAAACCCCAGCTTGGCTTGTCTGACTTGCATCGTTTCACTAGACCTACAGGGTTTGCTTTCGAGGGAAGAACGCATAAGTTGTTTCAATGGTTTTGTCTGACCACAGGAGCAGAATACACTAGTTGGGATGTGTCCTGGGTTAAAAATCTCATCAACAAGAAGGTGACAATGAAGTCTGTGTTTCATTATCTAGGACTCCAAGTGCATCTGCCACCACTCTGAAACAGGATATATTAAAGCTGTGCTCATGAAACTTAGCCAGAGCAACCTGAAGCTGAATCCACACAAGACAGAGAGACAGTGCTGGTCAGTAACTCTGATTCTTTGGAGCATCTGAATAACCTTGCGGTGGCAAATGCACAAGAGGGTAAGACCTTGGGGTTGCTCATCATGAGCCCAGTTTTGCCGTTTGCTTCCATTGGCTACATTTGGACCACAGGTTTCCTCCTTTCTTTTGCCTTTTTGACAATAATCCATGCTTTTGTAGCCTGGTTGGCTTTCTGAAATGCATTCTACGTTGGGCTTCCCTAGAAGATGCCTGGGAAAGGGCTACTGGTGCAAAATTCAGTCAAATTAATAACTAGTAATAATAGATGGATTTGGGGAAATATCAGTTTCAAGGAAAGAAATCCCAAAAGAGTGCATAACCATTTGTAAAGACAGATGCACACATCATAATCAGCATCTCCATCAAATGTGCAAATATGAAATATTAGAACAGGGTATAGCTATATAGTAACCCAACCCTTTCTGGTAAAATTTGCATCTTGACAGTGTCAATGTCAGAAAAGAGCTTCTGCCTCTCCAGATGTTTTCCAGTGCCTAACTCGAAGGCCATAGCGTTGTGCTCTGCTGGGTTGGTATCACTGAAAGGATAGCTTGGAGCAAACTGCGAACATCACAGAAGAAACAGTTCTCCTTTGTGCTCAGAAAGATGGAGGTTTCGGCATTCGTGATTATCAGTTCTATCCTTCTGGTTATTGAAACCCTTGTTGGACTGGTAGCAAATGGATTTATTGCCCTCATGAATTACATCGACTGGTTCAGAAGCAGGAAACTATCCCCAAATGACCAGATCTTGACCTGTCTTGCTTTGTCCAGACTTATGTGGCTGGCAGCCGTGATTCTGAATATAACTGCGCATTACTATTCTATGGACAAGCATAATTGTCATTATGTATATCTAATGCTTCCCATCTTGTGGATATTTACAAACACTTCCTCCACTTTGTTTGCCACCTGTCTCAGTGTTTTCTACTTGACAAAGATCGCCACCTTCTCCCACCCTGTTTTCCTCCAAGTGAAGCTAAGGTTTTCGGGACTAGTGCCATGGTTGCTTCCGAGCTCGGTTCTCCTCTCTGCTTTTACGGCTATTTTTTTAGTCACAGGCTTGAGCAATGGCTTCTCTATGTGTGATTCCAACAAATCACTTTTGAACATCACTGATTCAGGAATTAAATTGCCTGACTTATATATGTACATAGATATTCTAGCTACTGTCCCAAATCTCATTCCTTTAATGATATTTTTGTCATCGTCCATCTTGTTACTGACCTCTCTGTGGATGCACAGAAGACGGATGCAACGCAATGGAACTGGCATCCAGGATCTCAACACTCAAGTTCACTTGACTGCCATCAAAGCTCTGGCTTCCTTCGCTGTTCTGTACCTGTCTAGTTTTCTAGCAGTCATTGCTCAGGCAGTACTGATCTGGAATGATATGAGCGGCACTTGGCTTTTTATGCTGCTTAGTAACGTAACTGTTTCTTCTCCCTCTGGGCATGCCGTTATCCTGATATTACTTAATCCCACACTAAAACAGGCATGGATCAGGATGCTGCTTCACTTAAAATGCTGCTCGAGTGAAGTGCCTTCTTAAAACCTATCACAAGACCATAGAGACAGGACATTCTCTTGTGCAAGAAGGACCCTGGAAAACCCTCACAGCACAATCCTACAGGAAACTCTTCACGGGTAGACATGCTGTTCTTCCTCTTTCACAGAAACATGTAGGAAGGGTGGATGATCTCTTTAACTAGCTATTTCAGCAGAATAAATTAATCTACATAGGAGATACATTGGTGAAATCATTCTTTTCTCTGCTTCAGAATTGGCCAGGTTAGAACTGTTGCTTTTGATTTGGATACACTGGCAGAGGGTGACATGTAAGTGATGATACGTATTGAAAAACTTACGTTCATATAAAAATGCATCTATTTCCCACTTTTTTGAAATACTGAGGTTGATGTAATCTACAAGTTTTACTGCTAACGTCAAATTAAAACGTATACTTACAGTTTCTTTTATAATGTTCTGATGACCATTCATAAAATTAGTATCTGTCTAGGATCTCATCAATATATCATATTGTCAATTGTATTATACCACCATATGATATTGATATTGTAATTGTGTTGCAACGGATGATCATTATAATTGTATTTGAACTGAATGGTTAATACACTGTTTTAAACGTCCTTTTAGCTCCTTCATTTTTTCTATTCAACTAGGTTTACTGTAGAACAGCTCTTTTAGCTATTTGTTTCTAACTCAGTATAAGCTTAATTTTGGCAGGGTCTCTCTACCTCAGTGGCAGAGTGTCTGTTTTGCATGTAGAAGGTTCCTGATTCAATCCTCAACATCTCCAGTTGAAGGAATCAAGCTGTAGATGACAGGAAGTACCTCTGCCTGAGACTCTTATATGGTAACAATTGCTACAGTTTTTAATGTAGGATACTGCAGACAATTCCAGTCACATAAGAGCTGGCAGAGAAGGTACATGGATAAGCTTACCTGGGTGGGTCTGTGGCTATGTGGTTGAGCATCTGCTCTGTGTGTCTCTAATTGAATCCCAAATAGTTACAGGTTTTTAAAAAAAGAGTACGGGAAGTAGTCTACCTGGAAAAATTAAAAATGACACCACACTCTCCAACATTTCACAAATGAACACAGTGGCACAGGTCTCTCTGTGTGCGTATCTGTGGGCAAAACCACTGGGTGTTCAAGTACCTGAGACATGCTCCATATGAAGGCCCCTTTCTGTGTTTTGGCTGATAAGAGCCAAACTAGATGCCGTTTAGAGAAGATTTTGCCCATGTAAAAAAATGCCATGAGGGGGAACATGGTCTCCTCATCCCCCAATGCCATGAGCCAAATTCTTCTCTAAAAGGGTATCTGCACCCGTGGGCCAGACCCATGGCAGCTGTAATGTCTAGTTTGGCCCTAGATATGGGCAGTGGGGTGGATTGAAACAAAGTAAAAAAGGTAAATTCCATATATCATAAGTAGAGTAGTTTAGAAACTAGAAACTTGTAAGTGGTATACTTTATTAAGAAAACAGAAATCCAGACTAGGGATGCACATGAACTGGGAAAATGGAGGTTTGTTTCATCGACTTTCCCATTTACCAAACCAGTTCATCTTTTGATTGACAGGGATGCCTGCTGTCAACGGAAGACAAAGTCTGTGTGTGAGCTGGGGGGTATGTATCATTCTGATCCTATAGAGCAGAATGGGAGCTCTCTTACTGGTGGCCAGCACTGCCTGCTGAGCTTTGGAGGGCCACTATTGGTGTTTCCACGGCTGCAGAATTCCACCTCCACTGCTTTGATGGGGCACAGCGCATGTGCTGCATGTGAGCTGGGGACATATATCAATCTGCTCCCACAGAGCAGAATGGGAGCTATCTTACTGGTGGCCAGTACTGCCTGTCAAGATTTGGAGGGCCACTGGTGTTTCCAGGGCAGCAGAAGTCTAGCCATCCATTGTTTGATTATCATTTCCATTCCCTCTCTGCCTCTAACTAATGTGAGGCATGCCTGCAGAAATCCATGCCTGCATTGCTATTGATCGGCGCCAGCATGTCTGCCATGGATGCCACCACCACAAGCTACATAAACATCCAAAAACCACATGGAAGGTTGTGGGATGCTCATTGGGGTTAGATCACATGGACCTTGGTTTGTGAACCATGACCCAGGTGATTTTTGTTGGAAGTTTAGGTTTGACATCAATGGTTGCCAGAGGTGCACACTGTTCAACTGTGCAAAAATGGTGCTCATACTTGTCTGTGGCCACTTCCCCCATTTTTAATTTGGCTCTTCTTCTGCCAGGGATAGGACATTTTTCTAATAAAAATTCGTCCTCCACCGAGTAGCTTAGATAGCAGGGCCATGTGGGAACCAGGATCCCTTCCTGTGTGATGGCAACCATCCTGCATCAACGTTCCTGCTCGCCTGCATCATCTACTCACCTTGTCATGGACTCTGGACTTTGTTCATGGCCACCCCAAACCAGTCTGCCTCTGGATTGCTCACACTGGACTTGCTGTGTGCCCCCCCACCTGCTTGGCATGCCCCTGCTACCATGCCACCCATTGACGTGAACGCCTTCATCTAGGATCAATGGATTTATGATCCTGACATATCTGGACGGGGTCCAGATGTCAGGAAAGGGGGGACTGTTACTATGTGTGTATTTGCAATTGCATTTTGTCTGTATTGTGCTTATGCTGTGTTGATCAAATGTCTATGTATGTGTGCTTCTGGGACCCAGGGCTCACTGGTATGTGTGTTTGCTCTTATGCGTTTGAATGGCTGGTCTTACACCTCACGCTGTCCATACTGGGCATTGCTGAGATGCCGGCCATGCACACATGCTTCCCTGGAATTTTCCCAATGTGCCCCTGGACCAAGGAGGTCACCGCCATTAGGCACAAGGAGGACATTTGGAGAAACAACAGGCTCTGCCACCATTGATGGACTGTGGGAAAGCACGCAACCCTTCCCACTATCTGGTTTGGCATCAAAAAGACAATACGGTTTATGGCTTTGGACCAGCAACATCTCTACAACTCAAAAGGTTGCCAATGGAAACGGAGGTTCGCACCTCACCACATGGCCCCTGCTTTGATGTAGGATAGAATATCTGCATATTGCCTTCCCCCCTTTCATTAGGACGTCACCCCCTGTTCGACCTATAGCGATAGAATAGAGGACGTACCCCAGGGTTTATGGCAGGTAAGACCATGCCCACAGCATAGGTTTTAAAAAGAGAAACGCGCCTTTGTTTCTCTGGTTGACCCTCCCCTCCCTTAGCGTGCACCAAGGTGCTGCAGGTGACTCTTATTAAGTTCCCCGGAGTCGCGACCAGGGAACGCGCACGTGGCTTGGCCGGCCCAGCCTTTGTGCGTTCTAGAGTCCACCAGTTGATGCTTTGGCTGCCCTTCTTTGAAAGAGGAGATTTCTTTTCTCAGCTGGACCTCAGATAAGTATGATCGTGCAACCTAGAGTCATCCCCCTAGTTTAATGCTTTTGTTATTTTCTACACTGATCGTTTCTGTATCCTATTGTAACTAAGGAGCTTGTGTGAATCTTGTATGCATCTGTTTTTCGTATGTCTGAGAATTGCTTTAGTAAAGACAACCTGATTTATAAAACCTAGCTGTTGTCTGACTTCTTGGGAAATAGCGAGCCTTCAATATGCCAATCCGACCTCTGTATACACGGGTTTTGAACTCACGCACCGCCCGCCTCTGTAAGCAGAGTCGATCTGGGCTCCTGGAACCGTCTTTGGACCAGTTCGGGTAGCATTGTTCCCATCCCTAATCCAGACAGTCTGTGAAAATAAAAAAGGAAAATAAACCCAAATGCAAAGTGCTTAACTCAGATTTGGTTTAGCACCAATGTTGCAAAAGCCAGTTCATAAAACTAAGGTTATCTTCACTGAGTGGTCTTTCAGCACCGAGAATAAATCTCTTTAGGGTTAGAAAGGGCTGGATATCGATGAGCTGAGAAGGGTGCTCAACATCCAGACCCATGCCAGTTTCAGTTTTGGATCAATTAGTGTCAAGATAATGGCATGTCCAGATGGATAAGCAGCATTTATGTCTTCTACAAGCATGGATGTGCAAGTGTGACTCTTGATCCTAGATGCAAATATTGATTGTAAAGAGACCAGAACAAAACTGGACAGGTACAAAATAGTGAAGGAAGCCAGAGCTTTGATGGTAGTCAGGTCAACTTATGTGTTAAGAACCCTGCCTTCGATCCCATTGCATTGCAGACGTCTTGGGTGCTTCCACAGAGATGTAATCAACAAGCTGGAAAATGACAAAAATATCACAAAAGCAATGAGATTTGGGACAGAGAAAGAAAGGTGATAAGTCAAACATTTTAATTTCAGAAAAGAACAGGAGTCCAGTAGACCTTAAAGACTAACAAAATTTGTGGCAGGGTAGGAGCTTTTGTGATTCACTGCTCACTTCTTCAGTTTTAATTTCAGGATTGTTTTTGCTGAAAAGCAGGGCTATTTTGGGGTAGGAACACACAGGAACGGAGTTCCGGCTGGCTCCCAAGTTGACCATATCCCGCAGGAACTCATTAGCATAATAGGCCACACCCAATAGCAGAAACTCATTAGGATTGGCTACATTAGGGGTGTGGCCTAACATGCAAAGGAATTCCTGCTACGAAAAAAGGCCTAGGTTTTGACAACAAACAAGGTAAACAGAATAAGAAGCAAAAGGTGGGTGTGGCTGGATGACTATACTTCTGGTAACATGGGGGTGGGATCTAATATGCTAATGAGCTATGCTGTCATGGGTGTGGCTGAATATGCTAATGAGTTTCTGTTGGGTGTGGCCTACTATGCTAATGAGTTCCTGCTGGGCTTTTTCTACAAAAAAAGCTCTGCTGAAAAGTAATGTGCAGATTGCCAACGGACAAGCCATTGCGCCAGCTTGTGACAACCAGGGGGCAGTATTCAAATATAAGGTTGCACTTTTCACCAATCCCCCGCCCCCAGGCTTGGGCGAGCTCCTCCTCCCAAAATTCTGGTACTGTAGTACACACAGAAAAGCTCTCATGACAGAATGACAGC